AATGACCAGTGATGGTGACCATTTCTTCATGTATTTACTTGCCATTTGTATATCTTCATCTGAGAAATGTGTTCATCTCAGATGCCCATTTTTGGAGAGGGTCTTTGAAGATGGGGGGCTTAATGTTTTTTAGTTCTTTATATGTTCTGGATAGGTCCTTTGTCTAAGGGATTGTTGGCTAAAATGCTTTCCTATTCTGTGGGTTTTCTTTTGTGAAAAATTTAAATTAAATATGAGCAGACAGAGTCTAGTTTTTCAAAGAGGAAAGACAATGGTAACACATGAAGAGAATTACCCATACTAAATAGAATTTATTCTAGGAATGCAGGGTCTTTTGTATTTAATATTAAAAATACATCAAATTCATATTACTAGATCTAAAGAGAAGAAAATGTATGATACTGTGTGAGTGTTGAACCCTACGTCTTTTTAATTGAAATAAAATGATCAAACTAGGGCTAGGTTTTGTATTGTAAATGTATGTATTTGTATTTAAGTTCCCAATCTCTGACCTCTTGCTTAATGAGAAAATGACAAGTATTTCCATTGAAGGCTAGAACAGGCAGAAACACATGTTATAATCTGTTCTACACTGTATTGAATTTTAATTGAGCTAACAAGTAGATAAAAGCATCATAAAACTTTTAAAAGGAGGGAAAACTATTATTTTTTTTTTTTTGTCTTTTTCGTTTTTATCAGTACCAGGGATCGAACTCATGAATGCCTGCTTGCAAGGCAGGCGCTTATGCCGCTGAGCTAAATCCCCAGCCCCTATTTCTTGAAAATTTATTCATTCCAGAAATATTTATTGAGTTCTGCTATAATCTAGGTATCAGTGAGAAAAATTAAGGTTTACTTTGTGGGTCTTACATTCCAGTAATACACTACTGTGTGATTATATATCTATAAATATAAGGGAATTGAATGAAAATACGTATGATATAAAGCTTTAGACAGAATTAAAGAAAATGTGGTATTTACACTCAGAGTAAGTACTACTCTTCCATAAAGAAGGATAAATGATTCATTTATAGAAAAATAGGTGCACCTTGACACCATGAAATTAAGTGAAGTAAATCAGACACAGAAGGTTAAAAACACATAGTTTCTTTTATATAAGAAACCCAGAATAGAAATATCAAGCAAAATAAAAATAGATAGTAGAAAGTAGGGAGATAGATTGTTCTCAAAGGAAAGAAAAGATCAAGAGATGAAGGGAGAAAGGAGGAAAGGAAGGAAACAAGATTAAAAAATGTATTATGTGTTATGTACACATCCAAACTCCTTAAAAGGGATGTCATCACTGTGTCCTGGCAAGATGTGGGGAAAAAAAGGAAGGAAATCTAAAAGAAAGGGGTGAAAGGTACCAGGAGGGAAGGAAGAGAAGATGAAAAGGGAGTTAAGATGTGTTATGTACCCGTACCAACCTCCCACGAGTGATATGGACATTACACATACAAACATGGACTGATGAACTACTATTTAAAGAGAAAAGGCATTGTTTTTCATATCTATGCAAAGAGTAAGCAATTAAAAATTACAAGAAAATATATTATTTACAATAGAAACAAAATCCTGAGGAATAAACATAATGAGGTGTGTAAAAGATTGACAGGAAAGTTTTTAAACATTTTTAAAGGATGTAAATTGAAAAAGATTGTTAATTCACCCTATATTAATTAATTATTAAAAATATAACAGACTTACTTGTATGATAGTTTATTTTGAAAGCAGGCTAATTCATGTAGAAAAATAAAGATTCCTGAGAAAACTAACTGAGTATTCCTGACATGAATAATAAATAAATCAATGGAAGAATAGATTGTTTTTTCAATGAAAGAAAAATGAATAATAACATTGGAATATTGTGTGGCCACCTGGAAAGAAAGTTAGATTCACACCTCACACTGAGTATCTCAAAATATTTCAAATGTCCTAATGATTTGAATGTATCAGGCCCCTAAATATATTAGAAGAAACCCTGGGAGAATATTTTGAACATTTAAGTAAAGTGTGAGAGTAAAGATGGCTTTTCTAAGTAAGACTCAAAATTTAGAGGCCATTTTTGAAAAGACTTGAAATATACACTTGATAAAATCAAGTGTATATTTTAGGCAAACATCTGCAAGTAAAACAAGCAAAAATACCCTGAGCAAATTCTAAAGTGCGAATGACATACTGGTAAAAGGTACACAACTCATAGTATAGATAAAGAAATCCTAAAAATCGATAAAGATAATATCACCAAGCCAAAAATAAAACAAAACAAAACAAAATAAAAAAACACCTAATGGTCATAGCATACTCTTCACAAAGAAGGGAAATACAAAACAATTTTTAAAACATAGGAAAAGATGCTTCTTTCATGAAAAAGAAAAGTAAAAACTTTGCTGGGTACAATGTTTGTATACCAGAGCAGAAAAGTGCAAAAATATGATACACTCCATTGAGAAAGCTTTGGACAATGTATACTCTAGCTTGTTAGTACAAATTCGTAAGATCACTGGAGTCATTTTTTGATATCAAAATAAATTACAGAGGCATAGCATTCTTTAATCTATAACTTTCATTTCCAGGAATTTATTCTGCAGATGAATCTGTTCAAAATGACCAACAGCAAGTTTACTTATTGCAGCCTTGTTTATTGCAGAAGTTGGGATGGTTCAGTAATGTCCATTAACAGTAGAACGTGTAACTAAATATCCCTCCAGTTCTACAAAAGAATGAGGGTGTTTTTCTGAGTAATGATATGGAAACATGCCAAGGATATATTATAAAATAAAAAAACCTAAAAGTCCAGAACAAAGTACATAGTATTCAACCATTTGTTTAATCAGGTGGAGATATAAAAATGTACTTTGCTCATATTTACATGATGAATTTTGCTTATAGTTACATGAAGTAATTCTGGAAAGCAACCAATTTAATAACTGTGGTTACTTGTTAAGAAAGGGAAGAGAGGGGCTGAGAGAATAGGAATGATGTTAGAAGGTTAAACTTTAGACCATTTTAAAATTTATGACCCCTTTTGAAAATGGTTTCTTTATTAATAAACTTAGAAGATAGATTAAAATTTAAAGTGAATTGCTAAAAAAGTTTCTCCAGGAAAATGGCATAGCTAACATGCATATGTTATAGGCACTGAAGATTGTTGTTCTCATAGTTTTGATGAGGAGAGATATGAAAATATAGATTGCGTCATCCCTAGTAAAAAGAACTCAGATAACATAGGCATGAGGTCAATACGTTGTGTTCCTGCAGGCCATCTGCTGTATTTTCTGGGTGCCTGAGTATCTTAGTTGGTTCAACTGCTGTGACAGACTATTATAATCTGGTTGGTTTGACAGAGAACTTTTATTTTTCACACTTCTGAAGTCTGGAAATATGGGTATCTGGTATCAGCATGGTCTAGTTCTTGGCAAAAATCCTATTCTTCAAGTGGCAGAGAGAGAGAGAGAGAGAGAGAGAGAGAGAGAGAGAGAGAGCCAGCTCTCTAGTGTGTCCTCGAACAAGCCTCTGTCATGACCTCCCAAATCCATCCATCACACTGGGAAGTAGTCTCAACATAGGAGTTTGAGGGTGACACACAGCCCTTGAGCTGCTTGAGATGCTTTTAGGATGGTATCATAAGTACATTCCACTCTTTTGATGTGGAGTCTGGTCAGTTTGCCTTCTCTCTCCTCAGCTTCTGGTTATTTTTCTGGTCATTAATATTAAAACAATAAATAATGGAACAGAAATCAAATAGTTTTGTTCTATGACAGATCACCCTTACCTGACTGATGGTGGGATACCCTTGAATGTAATTGAGAGAAAGGAGAAAAAGAACTAACATTTGCCCCGTTTCACATGTATTTGCACATTTAATTCTTACCACAGTCCCATTTAGGTTGACTGCCTGATAGCTTTTTCCCCTCATGGTTCTACCTAGTCATCATGGCAGAGGCCCAACATGGCAAAGAAACCACAAAAAGACAGCTTAGCAGGCTTCTTCTTGATCCAAGCCAGACTTTATGTCCTTCCTTTCTTTGCATGCCAAAGGTTCCCCAGTCCCCAGCCTGCACATACTAACATGTAACATGAATCCATCACTGTCAGCTAACTAAATCCCTCCCAAAGATATAATCTGTATAAGCAATTCCCAGCCCTTTGTGTAGCAAGAGAGTTCCCACATTCTCAGTGACCCTCCCGTGCCTGGATAAAAGGCCTTTCTGCCCTTTGTCTCCTTTTTTGTTATTTCTGTGCTGCTTAGATTGAGACAAAATACTCCATCACTACCAATCTGTATTTTTACAGATGTGGAAACTGAGGCTTAGGGAAGTCAGCAGAGTGAGGAACTGAACATTTGCCACTTGTTTCAGGACCATCTCTGTCCACTTACCATGTTTGCTTTCCAAGTAATGTTTAGTCTTAATAAAAGAACTGATGTAGGATTTGGTTGAAGGCAATAACTAAGAAAAGGAATCCATGAGAAATACATGTAAGATGAGGAAAATAGAGGCAGAGAAAACATGTTTGGTACCTCACTTAGGCTTAAGTGAGGTAGCTGGAATTTTCCCTTACTTTTCTTCTCTCCTGCATTGTCCAAATACTTGATGGGTGAGTCTCACTCTTTTTTCCTTGATAAAGCGAAGTACCCAAATGATGCCTCTTTGCAAATTCTCCGTCATTAGAATATCTTTGAGGGCTGATGGGGCTGACTCAGCCACTTGGCTGCTCTATCAAATCTGGGTTGCCTCTTAGGAAGTACATTGTTGATAAGGAGACATGCTAGCTTTACAGGGAGTTTCATGCTTTTTCATTATGTTTCTTGAAGAGTAACCTAGTGATTATTCATGTTCATGCTGCTAATGCAAGGCCTGAGCCCTCATGGTAAATAGAGAAATCTCAGTAGCAAATAATAAGCACAAGGAAAAAAACTCAGATAGCTACACGGGCAGAGCTTTATGTTGAAAACAAGAACACATTGAAAATGCTTTTCTTGGTAATGTGTTTCATAGCATCCCGATGAGAAGAGACTGGAAGGCCTCTCCAAGCAGCTGGACTGGGATGTTCGAAGTATTCAGCGCTGGTTTCGGCAAAGACGCAACCAGGAGAAGCCTAGCACCCTGACGAGATTCTGTGAGAGCATGTAAGTTGCTTTTCCTTTCTTTCTGAAACAAAAACCCATCCCTGTGTTCATGCCATCACTGAGGTGAAAACTAACAGACCCATACTGGCCCTACCAACCTTTGAGAAATTGTACCATCTGTAGGAACACAGTTGGAGAAAATTAGGGGACAGGAGGGTGTAGGGATCTGCACTATGGATGCATTCATCCACTTCAGATGCAGTACATGGAAACTTCAAAATGGGTAAATCATATGTCAATAGCACTGTTCAAAATAATAAAAAAGACCTTGAGTTGATATGCTGAGATAGAGTTATTCATTACACTTAGAACCGTCAGAAGAGGAAGTATTAAAGCCTTGAGCACATCTCCAGTGAAAGGAAGATCCTGCCTCAAGTGTCTTAGGATGTGACTGTTCCTTTGTCCAGTAGCTCTTGCTTTAGGCAGTGAGCCTTTAAGAATGTTGACTTTGCACCCAGCTATGGATGTAAATGTGGTTATTAAATCTAGAAGTCTTGGTGGAAATTTTGGGGTCTTCTATGTAGAGTATCATGTCTTCTAAAAATAATGACAATTTAACTTCTGCTGATATTTTTTTTTTAAATGACTATGTTTGATCCCCAGTATCAACAAAGCAAAACAGAACAAAAATGGCTGTGTTCATTGAACAATTGTTATGGACAGTCAGTGGCTAATGATTAAAGGAAAAATCTCAGCCATGGGTTGGAGGCACATAGCGATCTCTGGAAATAGCATTGAGTCAATGCCAGTGGCCTTTAACTATTCTGTTGAATGAGACAGTGTTATAAACTCTTGTTTTGAGCCTCTCCTCTTCCTTGGCTTCAGGGTTGGCTGTAGAGTCTTGTATTTTCTCAAGGACTTTTGTCTACATTATTTATTCAGCATTTGTCATGTGGTCTTTAATGGGCTACTTCTCCAGTCCATTGACTTTTCCATAACTCTAGGTGTTAGTCTCCCTAACTGAGAAATACAGTCTGGTCTTTGCCTGTTGGACATCAGTCACTCTTACTTCCAGAAAGCTGTATTTTCACTGTCTGTGCCATCTTCTTTCCTGTCTGGACTGTGTGGAGTTCCGTGCCCAGAACACCTACTTCCTCTGCTTGTCCACCTAGAGCCTACCCATTCCTCAAATCCCAGCTTTCTCTGGAGTGTGGCCTAACTGTTGGATATTGAGTGAACACAGCTTCTGCCCTCAGAGACTTATTCTAAGTGCCAGTGACTTACGTCATGTGCTGCTTTATGTGGTTCTTTCGCTGTTCTTAATTTGGCCATCTGTATCCACCTTAGTTGTCATTAATGTTGGTTGAAGAGCACAGAGACCATCCTAACTCTTGTGTTCTTCTTAGCCTTTACCCTAACATACAGACTCCACCAAAAATGTGTTTGTCAAATTCACTGTATATTAAAATGGCTTCATTCTGGAAGGAGCTGCTGACCTCACTTGCCACTGGTCTCTACCACTGAAGTGGCCTACTGTGCATGAACTCAGCATAAAATTCTTTTAGGTGACCCACTGGACTCCATAATAAGGACAAGGATTCAAAGGAAAGAGCTGGGAGAGGTTCTACATACCTGTAGTCCCACCTAATTTGGAAGGCTGAGATGGGTGAATCAGTTGGGTGCCCAAGTTCAGGATCATCCCAGAAACCTAATGAGTGAGACCTTATCTCACAAACAGTAATAAAAGCAAAAAGAAATTCAAAGGAAAAAAAGAATAACAAAGGCGAATGTGTAGAGAATGCCATGAGGGATGAATTAGAAGTGTATTGCTCGGGGGCTGGGGATTTAGCTAAGTGGCCTAAGCACCTGCCTTGCAAGCAGGCAGTCATGAGTTCGATCCCTGGTACCGGTAAAAAAAATAAAGGAAAAAGACAAAAAAAAAAAAAAAAAAAAAAAAAGAATTGTATTTCTGTATATATGCACATGTGTATATCATAGTTATTTGCCTGGGAAAATGATCTAGAATAACTGTTCTTAACCAGGGAAGTTATTTCACAATCACCTAATTAACTTCTTCAAATACACATACAGACCTCACTGCAGCATGTCTTACTCAGTAAGGTGACACCAGTACGGGTCTGGACATGTTTATTTTGGAAGAACTGTCCCAACTGTATATGACATCCATTCCAGTTTTGAGAAAGAGAGATGTTTGATGGAGGTAGTATACACCTGAAATCTCAGCTCTCTGGAAGGCTGCAGCAAGAGGAAGATCATCACAGTTTTGAGCATAATTTGGCTAATTTAGTGACACAGTGAGACTTTGACCAAAAAAAAAAAAAAAAAAAAAAAAAAAAAAAAAAAAAAAAAAACCAAAGCATTGAGGATGTAGCTCAATATGAAGGTTCTGGATTCAGTCATCTGAACCAATTCAGGGATTGTAGATTCAGGACCAAAATGCAAAGAATCAATAGAGTTTAAAAACTGTATAAGTAGTTTTTGTTTTAGAAAATAAAATGCCTTCAGGGAGATTATGCTTCATCTGTCATTAGTGTGGATAGCACCAGTGTGCATGACAAACACTGCTTGCAAGCATCTGCCGACGTGCCCAGTTTTGGCATGGCCATTTAATGCAGATGGACTGAGGAGAGGTTGTTCAGTGAGCAACATGCAGAAACACTGATGTGAGTTTTTTTTCACTCTTGCTTGTCGTCAGTCATTCACAGCTATGTCAGTTTTGATGACTCTTTCAGAAACATTTAAATCCTCAGTGGCAACTAAAATACAGATTTGAGAAAGAGAGAGGACAAAAAATTTATGAAAATGAATGTTATATGAGACATTTGAGTAGAAACCAGTACAGAATACAAGCATGCACCCCCTGCTGGGACCATGCTGATGTGATGCCATCCTTCTCTGATGGTTGCATCAGAATTTTGTGTTTATTCATTCAGGCTAATGTACAAATAAACAACATCTGCAATAAAAATATCTGCAGGGTGAAACAGAAAGAGGCAGAGAGAAGACAGCAGTATCAGTGGCTTTCTTGTCAGTTGTGGTCAACCTGTGCTCATCAATTTGGAATATCATGTAATACATTTAATAGCACACGTAAGAGAGTAAACATCTGTATTTGCTTTCATTTAAACAATCTCCAGTTTACTGAAAGGGTGGCTGTCCTATAAGATAGCCTTAAAGTAAATTATTATATATTCTGCATCACAGATTAAAAGTAATTTATTTGAATTGACGCTTTCTCCACATGGTACTGAAATTATAGAGCCTTATGTTGCATATGATGATTCCCTTTTCTTTTGAATTCAATTTTAGAGTTGATATGGACGAAGATTATTCCCAAGTGGCTGCAATCAGTGAATGTCTGTACAGCCACAGAGTCTAATGAAATTGTGACCATACTTCTGCGAAGAAGCCTTGTGATTTTCTTCAGCTGTGATTCATTTGAATTTATCAGTGGGAAACCAATGGCTTAAACAATTGCCCTCAAGCCATGAATTTGAGCAGTGTGAGTCTAAGGAGCTGTTTGTACTTGGATGAATCAACTGTGCTGTCTTGTGACTTTAGAAAGGAAGTGGAGCTTAATTATTGGGGTGGAAGGATACACGGGAAACAGCAGCTAAGTCTCCTATGTACCTTTATTTTAGAGATGTCCCTTTGGTCTGAGGAAACTGCAGTGACTATCCTAAGTGTCTGTAACCAGCCACAGACAAAATGAAAACACCGAATATTTTTAAGCCATTTCCACTCTTCCATTTCTTCTGGTGATGAAGGAAGTTTTACCAAAGAGAAAGCTCATTTTTTATTATTTTCTCCATTAGATTATGAGATAAGCATCTTTTGTAAAATTTACTCCCAAAATTTTTCTTGAAAATTGATGCAGTTTTTGAAGAGGGGAATAAGAAAAAAAGTATCTTCTAGAACAGTGTCATCTTTTTTGCAGATTAGGATTTGTGATTGGCAGTGCTTAGAAGCTGATCCTAAGTGTGGAAAAATCTAACGATGAATTTGGAGGAGGACTGGCTTTTAGTTCTTGAAAACTGGAGGGTTGAGCTGTACTGTCGCTTTTTTGGTGATAGTAGTTGTTACAAAATAGATCCCGGGTTGGTGAAACCTGCTATCATCCAAAGTACTTAGGAGCCAAGCTACTACTCAGTGAATAACTAGGTGCTCTGAAATACTGTAAATAATAAATCTGTGGGTTATATTCAGGTTAGTTCTAACTTAGTAGCAGAGGTTCCAAAACCTTTCTGTAGATGACCAAAAATTAAGTATTTTAGACCTAATGGGCTTCGTTGTGATTACAGCTCTGCTGTTGCAGCAGAAAAACAGCCAGAGACAATGCAAATATGTGTGGCCAGGTTCCAAGAAAACTTTATTTATGGATACTGAAATTTGGACATATCATTTTCATGTGTCATGCAGTACTTCTTTAAAATTTTCAACCATTAAAAGAATGCAAAACTTCTTCTTAAACCCCAGGCCACACAGAAACAGATGGCTGACTGGATTCGTCCTCAAGTAATGATTGCTAAATCCTCCCTGAGAGTTTCAGTACTGTTGTGTTTCTTTCAGAGTTCTAAAAAAGAGAATGTGGTCTTCTAGTGCCAGGGAGTGTCACCCACTTCTCAGAGCCTCCCCCTTAGTGTACAATTACAATGGAAACAGTAGAACAGACCTGCAGTTGGTGTGTCAGGCTACAGTACTCCTTAGATGTGATGAGTTGAGGATGTGCAGATTGGTTTATCCCAACTTGATTCTCTTTGCAGCTGTAAGTATCCTCAAGGTAGCATCGTTTCCTTGATAAAAATTCTAAATACTGTGGGCAGTCTCCTCTTTTGCCTTGAATACACATTTGAAGCCTTTCTCTTCTTTCTGTTCCGGACCTATAGAAAGTTAGATCAAGTCCCTCACATTCCAAGCCTCTCCCATTGCATGATGGCATCTGGCTGGACTTCCCATTAAAGTGCACTGGTTAATTAAAGAAAACAGATTTTTGCTAAAAATATCAGACAGGCCATACCATGGCCATGCTGGCTGCATAT